CAGGAGGCTGTGCCCTGTGGGAAAGAGCCAGGACAATGGCAGGCGAGGCAGCTGGAGGGGAGAAAAGGTCCCAGAGGAAGCAGAGCTGAAGGGCCTTGGATAACAGGCTAGGAAGATGTTGGAGCAACGTTGCAAAGTGCTCTTGAACAACCTATTGGTATGTGTGTCTAGGGCCATAAAAGCAATATAGATCCATGGCAGAGAATTTGGAAAAATTTGCAGAGAGGAAATAAGAAAATATTTCAAACGTCCAGCACTGTGTCAGTCACGATAACACATTTTTCTTTAAAACAAATTAATCCATAGTTGGGCTGGAGAGAGTGTACAGCAGACTGTACACTTGCCTTGCATGCTGCTGACCTGAGTTTGATCCTGGCACCAAATATGCCCCACCCTGGACCTCACAAGCAGTGATTCCTGAGGCAGGAGTAAGCCTTGACCATAGTCAGGTGTGGCCCAAAAGCAAAAATAATAATGTTTTTTATGTAACTTAATGTCATGCATTTTTTACTTGTTATAGTTTCCAAAATCAGTTAACATTCTTTGAAAATATGAACTTTAACAGCTCTGTACTTTTTATTTATAGATATAATGTCACTTAAATTTATCCATCCTTCAAGGTCGCACTTGGAAGTATTTATAGCTTCTCTCTATTTAACCCAAATGGTTACCGCCTATTAGTAGAAGAATTCGATCATTTTATATTTACTATCTTGTGTTCTTTTTATCTCATTGGTACCCCTTGCTGTTTCCTTTCTGTTGTTGTTATTGATGGGTTTTGTTTTGATCTTTTACAATATCATCTATTTCTTTCCCTTTTACTTTTTTTGTAGTGGCTTTGAAAATATAAATCCCACTTAAAGTTTGACTTACAAGTGAACTTATTTTCTCTAGTTGTAAGTATTAAGAATGAAATGCTACCCACTGATTCCGTGCCAGGAAAGCTGAACATTTTAGCATACGTTATCTTCTTGTAATGTCCCCATGCACTTTCTAGGGCCCAGAGCTATAGTACAGTGGGTGGGGCACTTACCATGCACATGGTCAACCAGGTTTAATCCTTGGCACCGCATATAGTTCCATGAGACTGTCAGGAGTGAACCCTGAGTGCATAACCAGGAGTAAGCCCTGAATACCACCAAGTGTGATCCCTAAACAACAAATCCCATTTCCCTTCCCAATATTTCAAATCTATTCACACAGTAGATTTTAATAGTTACATCTTCTCATTTGAGAATTACACTTTCCCTTTCTGTTACTTTATCATGATGCTAACAACATTGTTTTCAGAATCTGTCCTGCTCAGTTTACTTTTTGACCTTCATTCACTCTTTCGTAACACAACTTCATCGGTGAATTCCTTATTTCATAGCGGAGTTCCTTATACAGCACTGCAGTTCATTGGCAGCTTTTTTTTTTTTCAGAACCATTGGCAGGTTATTTTTTCAGAAATAGTAAATAGATGGTTCATGTTCTAAGCATCCCCCCAAATAGTTTTCCTTTATATCACACATAAAATAGCCATAATAGTTGGTTTTGTTTAAAACTTTTTAGAGTTTTTTTATTTCATGTGAATTTTTCACATTTTCAATTCTGCAAAGATCATATCCTTATTTATTCTTTGTTTATTCATAGGTATCCTATTTTAAGATCCTATATAAAATATCTGTCTCAAAAATTGCAAGTTATGTCTAGTCTTGGTCAGCTTTGTGTCTGGCAAATATTCATTTCCAGCCAATGTCTCATCTCTTTACTCTGATGTTGTCTTTCACATAGCACATGTTTAAAATAATTTTATCATTCATTTCATTCACAGATTATGCTTCTAGGACATCTTTACCTAGTCCAAGTTCATAAAATTTCTTCCTAAGAAACATTTTTTACTTTATAACACAAAAGAAACAAAAATCAAAGAGAACAATAAAAGGATAAACTTTTTTTTCTGTTTTCTTCTATAAATTATAGTGTTGTATAGATTAGAGCTGTCCATATGGAGTTTTTTTTAATGAAATATGAGATGTGAGTGAGGTTCATTTTTCCTGTCTTGTTCTAGCCTTATTATTTGAAAGACAATTGCCTTGAAAATCCACAGATCTTATGTGTCTGAATGGTTGGAGTGTAGTTGTCTGTGATTGTGTCTGGTTGGCTGGTACAGATAACAGAAGTTACTGATGGGCTGAGTAGACCTCCCACCTGGATCCTAGACCCTAAATTTCTACCCTTGCATTGGGCAGTGGGCCCCCAGCTGCCCATCACAAAGGAAGTGGGCAGGGACCTGGCCAGGCTCCAGTGTCACTGTGAACACTCAGGATGCAAACAGTTTCTTCTGATAACCCTTAAGGCTCTGAGTGTGGCTCCAAGCACACCTGCCATCATCAGGTCTCCTGCAGGGGAGCCCCTAGTGTCTTCTTCGTCCCCATGAGGTTGATAGGAGTCTGGTGAGGTGTTGCCACATGGTTCTGTGGGGCAAAAGGAGATCATAGTCATACCGATTTCAAAGCAGAGTTGGAAGAAGTGAGGGATGGGGGATAATGCTGGAAATGGGAATATTGTGTTGCATTTGATGTGGCCCCCTCTGGGCATCCATGCTCATGGTATCCATTTGGTGTCAGTGACCACAAAGCTACTCCTGGCATTTCATTTGCCAAGGAAGCCAGGCTTTGTCCCTCTTCTATGGTCAGGGAGGACACTGATCACTATCTCAGTGTCTGAGGCCTGGGATGACAATGCCAAGCTCCTCTTTTCAGCAGAATGTTAGGTGATACTGAGGGACCTACTGTGGTCTGGGAATGCTTGTGAGTGGGGGCACAAGGGGGACAGAGGACAGCGCAGGTATAAATGGGAGGAAGGACACTACTGGAAAAAGCCCAACTTCACAGTCATGTGTATCTCTTCCTTACTCCCTGATACTGTGTACGCTGGGTTTGACTTTATCCCAAAATCCTATCCTCTTCTTTATCTGCTCCTGATTCCAGGTCCACTGTGAAGGAGTTGGGTGGGGTGGGGGTGGGGTGCTGGTTGAGAGAGTGTGAAGGAGGAGGGAGTCTCTCTGTGGCAGGATAGATTTAATGGGGGCCTGGAAGCAGGCTGCCGCCTCTGTCCCTGTGTCTGGCAGAAGGGAGACCCATCCACACCCCCTGGCTCCAACTATGAAGAAGTTGATATTCTTCAGATGGCTTCTTGGGAATCCATGGATTTAAAAAACTAAGTTAATTAATAAAATGTTTATAGTCCAGAGTACCCTTCATCCAAATGAAGTTTTAGGCTGGAGGTTACTTCATATAACCTACATACCTACCATGAAGGTGCTTTGTAACAGGAAGCTGAGGACCCTGATCTCTCATACCTGGATTCCAAGCTCTGACTCATCTCTGGCTTTTAGGTTTTATTTATTTATTTATTTATTTATTTGAGGATGGTGGTTGTGGTGGTGGTGGTGGTGGTGGTGGTGATGGTGGTAGTAGTGGTGTATGAATCACAGCCAGCAGTGCTCAGGGCTTTTCCTAGCTCTGTGTTCAGGGATCACTCCTGATGGGGTTTGGAGCACCATACACAGTGCTGGGGATCGAACTGGAGTTGGCTGCATGCAAGGCAAGCTCCTTATCATCTATACTGTCTCTTCATCCCCCTGTCTCGTATCTGAAGATGGCATGACTGAAGGAGAATTATGAAACTCTGGAAAATTCTGAGGCAGCTGCAATTCCTGCCTGGATTCTCAATGACAAGAAGCAAGGATGCTAAGCCCCCACCCAACCCCCATCCCACACTCAGTTCAGGGCCTGCACCCTTAGAAGTGCTTAGTGAAGTCATACCCCTCCCTCTTGTAGGGCATCTTGGGGAGGAGTCCAAAGCCCAAAGCAAATATGTGGAGGTCAACTAGTGGATTGATTCAGGGATGATATTAAAATGTGTGGGCTGGAGCGATAGCACAGCAGTAGGGCCATTTGCTTTGCGTGCGGCCAGCTAGCTGAGCCGGGTTTGATTCCTCGATTCCTCTGCCCCTCTCGGAGAGCCCAGCAAACTACAGAGAGTATCTCGCCCACATGGCAAAGCCTGGCAAGCTACCCGTGAAGTATTCGATATGTCAAACACAGTAACGAGTCTCACAATGGAGACGTTACTGGGCCCGCTCAAGCAAATCGTTGAACAATGGGAGGACAGTGCTACAGTGCTATTAAAATGTATAACAATGGAGTGTTCCAGCTCTGATCATCATTAAATAAAATACAGACTTTTTTTTTACTATAGAAGGAATGAGGGTTTCTGAAAGTGGGACTGGGACATCTGAGACAGTAGTGAAGCACTCAAAGTGCTTAGGACAGCAGGAATTTACTACCCAAAAGAAATATTCTAGAAGTTTTAACAACTAATGTAACTGCGTGTCATTTATGAATGAATGGACAGAGACAAATGGATGATGAGTAGTTGCTAGGATAGATGACGGTAGGAAGATGTGAAAGGGTGGGAGAATTTACAGTTATAGGGTAGAGGATAAATGGTAAATTAGGAAGATGGATTATGAGGGAAAGAAAAAGAAGGATGGATGAGTTGATGGACAGGTAGGTGGATGGGTAGATGAATCAACAGATGGACAAATGGATGGATAATGATGAATGGGTAGATTTACAAGTGGATGGGTAAATGGTTGGGTAAGTAAATGGATGAATGAGTGGATTGATGAATGGGTGGATGGATGGGTATATTTTTGGGCGGATGCATGGGTGGATGGATGGACAGGTGGGTAGGTGAATGGAAGATGAATATATGAATGATAAATGAGAGTAATGATAGGAAGATGGATGTGTGGGAAAACAGCAGAGTATGAAGACAGAGGATGGAAGAAAGATGGAAGAATGGATAGATGGAGGTGTAGGAGAGTGAATGGCCAAAGGGGAAAGACTGGAGAAAGGAGGAGAGTAACGGATGCTAGCACAGAGGTTGGTTAGCTACTGAGTCAAGTTCCCTGGGGTGATGGCCTGGCTCTGTCTGTACCCCCACAGGAAGCTTCCTGGTGCCCTACATCATCATGCTCATCGTGGAGGGGATGCCACTCCTGTACCTGGAACTGGCCGTGGGCCAGCGCATGCGGCAGGGCAGCATTGGCGCCTGGAGGACCATCAGCCCCTACCTCAGTGGTGTTGGTACGTGAAGGACTTCTGGATCCTATCCTACCTGGACACTGCCATACGGTGTCTGGTAGTCAGGGTGGGGAACGTCCACTGGAAGATCTGCTGGAGCGAAAAAGACCTCGAATGGGGCAGATGAATGGCACAGAGAGGGTGCCATAGTGTGTGTGGGGGGAAAGGGCTAGCTTTTTTTTTTTTTAATTTGTCTTCAGCTGTGCTCAGGGATCACTCCTGGCAGAGCTCAGGGGGACAATAGAGGGTATCTGGGATCGAACCCAGGCCAGCCACGTGCAAGGCAAGTGCTTTACCCACTGTACTATCTCTGTAGCCCCATGAGGTGGGGGGCTAGGGGGACGGCGGGGCTAGCCTTCTGATTGTGCATACCCTGGGGAGTTGAAGCACCTTACTTCTCACCTCTGAGCCTCAGCTTGCTGATCACTGGAGGGAAAACTATTCCTCAAGGGCTAGCAACGATTCTGGAATGAGGTTTAACTGTTCCATGCTAATTAGTAATCGTAAGTCACTCTCTTTTCGTGAGCAGCTACTGTGTGCCAGGGCTAGGCTAGACCACATATATGCGTGGGCTCATTTAATCCTCAGCACACCAGTGAACGTGGGAGCGGAGAGCATGAATAGCTCCCGTGCTTGGGAGCTGTGGTGCACTGGACAGCAAGGAGGGAAGTCCTCAGCCCCTCCTCTCCTCTGCTGCCTCGAGCCTTGGCACAGGCACCTGCCTTGCACACCTTCACCCTCCAGGGCACCGCTGCAGGCAGAAGGGACTTTGACCAGCAACGGCCATGGCCTGGCCCAAGGCAGGCAGGAAGGCAGGTGGTGTGAAAATAACCAGAGTTTCCAGGGCAAGGTGGCTGGTACGTGCCCTGGTCTTGGATGCAGAAGAAACACAGCAGCGCCTCACAGATAGACCCTTCCAAATCCAACGAACTGCCTTCCCATTCTGAATGGCCATTCACTTATAAGGCAGAGATGTGGGCTTCCTCGTCTCGCCCAAAGAAGCAAGCCCTGCAGGCTGCTCGGAGGCAGCATGTGGGGGGTAATAGGACAGAAACCAGATGTTCGTGCCAAGTGGTGCCAGTCAATATTTAACAGCCAGCTCTGGGCGGCTGGGGGAAGGGACACCTGACTTGTGGCCTTTGCCGACACTTACAATGGCAACACTCCCACTGTGACCCAGAGCAGCAACACCCCCGCCCCTGCCCCACCCCAGGGTTCCTGCAGGACTGAACAGATCAGGGACTCGACTCCTCACACCTTTGTCCCTTGTCACCATAGGGCAGGTCTTGCCCCCACTGACCGAGCTGAGGAGCACCAAGGAGGAAACTTCTATCGAAGCTTCTCTCAGCTAAGAGAAGTGCTTGAGAGTGATGGCAGAGCTTTGTACACTGGTTCTGGGTCCTGCTCTGCTGTTTAGCAGCTAGTGATCTTGGACAATGTCCCTCAGTTTTCCCCTCTGTCAAATGGGAATGATCTGGCCCTCCTCTCACCACCGTTGTGAGGGTCTAAATCACATGGAAGGTGGGCTGGAGAGATAGTACAGTTCAGTAAGGCAACTGCTTTGCATTTATTTGACCCCGGTTCAATCCTTGGCACCCCCATGTTGTCCCCTGAGCCCCACCAGGAGTGACCCATGAGCAGAGAGCCAGGGGTAAGCCTTGAGCAAAGCCAGAATTGACCCCAAAACAAACAACAACAACAGCAAAACATAATCACATGGAGAGGGGGCAGAGCGATAGTACAGGGGTAGGGTGTTTGCCTTGCATGCATTATCCCGGATTCAATTCCCGGCATCCCATATTGTCCCCTGGAGTGAGCCTGCCAGGAGTGATCCCTGAGCACTGCAGGGTGTGACCCCAAAACAAAACAAACAAACAAAAAATGCTTCTTAAGCACATGGAGAATCTAAAGCACATACTTAGACTGTACCTGGCACTCAGATCTCAGAGATGCTCACCTCCATCCTAGAAAATGATGGCGAGGGAGGAAGGTGAGTTATCCTTAGACAGTGCTCTCTCCAAGCCTCCAGACCCTGCACTGGCCTTCAGTGCCCCCCATTACAGGGACTGGTGGAGGAGCTGTGCTCAGCGCCCCTCTGTCCCCCGCAGGCGTCGCCAGTGTGGTGGTCTCCTTCTTCCTGTCCATGTACTACAACGTCATCAATGCCTGGGCCTTCTGGTACCTGTTCCACTCCTTCCAGGTGAGCACGGGAGGGAGGGAGGGAGGGAGAGGGCGGTGTCAGGGCTGGAGGTGGAGGGTAAGGAGAGGACTGGGGGAGACCAGGTTACCCCAAACCCAGTTGGGGGTGGGGGGCTTCTGAACCTGGGATCCCCGGCCCCGTAGTTGTCAACCCTCTCTCTCACCTGGGAAGTTTCCATAGATGGTTGGGCAGGTTGAACACTGCACAGTGCTAGTCCAAGGGAGAGGTGGCAACTCCCTACCGGCTGCTCTCCTTCCGGGGATGTCTACTGAGTGAGACAGTGTCCCCAAAGTCAGCCTGCACAAGCCTTTGTGGGGGTATGTGTGAATGTGCATACATGTGGGAAGCATGTCCACAGCATGTCCACCCTGCCGTCAGGGTCACACTAGGGTAGGAGGTGCCCAGGTATTAGAAACCAACTGCTGCAATGTGGGTCCCGAAGAAACCTGTGGAGAGAGTGGTGGGGTGAACGCCACTCTGGGCTGCCCCCATCCCGGGCACCAGGCCAGCCTTGACTCTCTGGGACGCTGAGGAATGCTTAGGTGAATGAACTCAGTCAGCGAACTGGGCTGTCCACACCTTCCCGGGCTTCCTGCCCCACCCGCCCAGGTCATCTCCTTAGAAAACTTCCTGCTAGGAAGTCTGAACCACCCTAAGCTGAGCCTATCATGCAGGCAGGCTTCAACACTGATACCCCCTCCGTCTGTGGAGAATCCTGAACATTCCTCTCTCCCACCTGGGAAGTTTCCATAGATGGTTGGGCAGGTTGAACACTGCACATTGCTAGTCCAAGGGAGAGTGGCAACTCCCTACAGGCTGCCCTCCGTCCGGGGATGTCTACTGAGTGAGACAGTGTCCCCAAAGTCAAAGGAACAGATCCTTTTGTTCTAACAAAATCTTAATAATTGGAGGATCTCTGCAAGCTGAAAATGAAGTGTGTCAGGCCAGAGAGATTGTACAGGAGTTAAGGCCTTCCACATGACTTGCCAGGTCCAATCCCCAGCACCCCATTTGATCTGCCGAGTACTACCAGAAGTCATCCCCGAGCACAGAATTAGGAGTAAGCCTTAAGCACCACCAGGTGTGTCCCAACTCCCACAAGAGAGAGAGAGAGAGACGGACAGACAGAGACAGAGAGACAGAGTGAGAGAGAGACAGAGAAAGACAGAGACAGAGAGAGACAGAGAGACATCTTAGCATTTACCTGCTTTTGTCTAGTTTGACGCAGGCTCGAACTAGACAAGTAGCCAAGGCTAGACCCTGAGTCTTCACAAGACAGACGTTACCTCCTTCCACCGCACTGAGAGCCAGCAGAGGTGATGGCTCAGTGCGGGCTTTAGCATCGGGGATGGCCGCAGCATCATAGAGGGTGTCAGGTAAAGGAGAGGGCATGCGAGTCCTTGGGAGAACTGTCTGGCTGCAGGTCTGTGCTGCTAGGCCCAGCAGTGGGACGACAAGGGTCGCTGACTGGCCTCTGCCTGGCCTGGTTGGAGGAATTACTAGCTACACGGCAGTGAGTCCTGAGTGTTCCAAACTGGTTGCCTCTGTGCTGCCTGCTATGGTTGGGCGCGGGGGGGGGGGGGGGGGGGGGGGTGTCCACGTTTGACTGTCACAGATGGCCTGACCATTGTCCCTTTGATCTAGCCTTGCCCAAACACCAGAGCCCAGCAGTCCTCCGTACACACCTGTGGGATGTCAGGGAACAAAGGATCAGAGAGATAGTCCAGCGGGAACGGCATTTGCCTTTTATGCGGCCAACCTGGGTTCTATCCCCGGCACTCCGTATGGTTCCCCAAGCCCGGCCAGGAGTGACCCTTGAGCTCAGGGGCAGGAGTAACTCCTGAGCACTGCCAAGTGTGGTCAAAAACAAAACAAAACAAAATGTGGCTCCCACTCCCCCCAGCCCCACCTGTGTTCCCAGTATACCGTGTTCCCCTGCCCTGTGGGAACCCTCCTGGGTGCTCCCCTTCCTAGAAGGACCCGTTGGCCTCCTGTTGGCCTCCTGTGCAGCCCCCGCCCTGCCTTCAGCCCTCCTCTCTGTGTAACAACTACAACGCTTTCTTCAATCCCAAAGGACCCCCTGCCGTGGTCCGTCTGCCCGCTGAACAGCAACCACACGGGCTACGACGACGAGTGTGAGAAGGCCTCCTCCACACAGTACTTCTGGTACCGCAAGACCCTCAACATCTCGCCGTCCATTGAGGAGAGCGGGGGCGTGCAGTGGGAGCCGGCACTGTGCCTGCTCCTGGCCTGGCTCGTGGTGTACCTGTGCATCCTGAGAGGCACCGAGTCCACAGGCAAGGTGAGCTCAAGGGAGCAGGCGGGGTCCGTCTGCAGCTGGCGGAAGGGGGGAGGGGGCATTGGGCAGAAGCTGTGCTGGGCTGCAGGCCAACTGGTGGGGCTGATACAAACCGACTACCAGCAGCGCTTGCAGTGCAGTGCCCCCCCCCCCCCATCGTGGAATTCCCTCTTTGCCAGTAACTAACAGCGACCAGCCAGTCTAGCCCTTGCCACCACCCCCACCCCCAACCCCCCACCCCAGAGGCATGGAGACACACCTGCCAGGCAGCAATGAAGGCTTTGAAAACTTTAATTTCTTTTTTTTTTTTTTGCTTTCATTTTTTTGGGGGGGTGGGTGGGTCACACCTGGCTATGCTCAGGGGTTACTCCTGGCTCCGCACTCAGGAATTACTCCTGGTGCTGCTCGGGGGACCACATGGGATGCTGGGAATCGAACCTGGGTCAGCCGCATGCAAGGCAAACACCCTACCCGCTGTGGTATAGCTCCAATCCCTGAAGGCTTTGAAAACTTTAGCTAGGACCAGGGAGATGGCTCAAAGGGCTGGAGCACCGGTTTGATGCTCAACACTGCATGGTCCCCTGAGCATTACCCCTGACTCCCTCAAACCAAACACAAGAACAGAAAAGTAATAAGTAACTGCAGATGTCCCCCAAACCTGAGCCACTGGTTGTGACTTGACTGGACATCAGGAGCACCCCTCTTGGGACTCTGATATCCTGGTCAGGGACGTGGCTCTGCAGTAGCCTCCAGGCCTCGTGTGTGTGGGTTTCTGAGTTTGAACCCTACTACAGAAACTAAATTCTGAGAACTCTGACTTCTAGTCTCCCTCACCCCCCAAGGTTCTGGAGCATCAGTGGGACTGAGCACCTGAGAACGAGAGATTTAAGAGCATCCCCAGATTCCAGCATGCAGCCTTGCTTGCAAACTTCTGCTATGAGTGGCTTCTAATGACCCACAGATGGGGCTGGAGTGATAGTACAGTGGGTAGCGCTCCAGATGGTCCCCCAAGCACTCCCAGGACTGATCCTTGAGGACAGATCCAGGAGAAAGCCCTGAGCACCACTGAATGGGGCCCTCCTTGTCCATTCCTTGGCAACCATCACTCCTCAGAGCAGCGCCGCTGAAGGGTCGGCCATGCCAGGGCTCCCCCTTCCTGGCCATCTTCAGTGCCCTGCTCACCTGCAGGGAGAGAGAGGGGCTGGTCCTGGGCACCAGCCGGAGTGGGCAGAGTCAGAGCAAACCTAGTTCCCCAGGGCCTCAGTGTGGCAAGCCCCTCTTCCTGATCTTCCTGGCTCCTTCTCTCCCTTCCGTCTCTCCCTTCCTTCTTTCCTTTCCTCCTCCCCTTCCTCCTCTCCTCTCCTCTCCTCTCCTCTCCTCTCCTCTCCTCTCCTCTCCTCCTTTCTTTTCTTCCTCTTCTCCCTCCCTCCCCCCTCCTTCCCCCTCCCTCCCTCCCTCCACAACTCCCTCCCACCCTTCCTCCTTCTTTTGCTTCCTTTTTTCCTTCTTTCCTCTCTCCTTTTCCTCCCTCCTTCTTTCCCTCCTTCCTTCCCTATTTCCTGTATCTAGTGTCACCCCAGGGTACAGCAGGCTCCTGAAGGCTGAGCCCCCTCCCTGATGCTCCCTAGAGCCCTGGGCAGATGTTTTCTTCTGGCTTCTAGAGTCTGCCACAACCAGCAAGGCATCCCAGGCGGAGCTGAGGGGCTCGCACACAGGTCTTGGGGGCAGTTCAGTGCTTGTGGCAAGCCCACTTTGCCCATCCCCAACGCTTGGCTGATATTTTACGCTCATGGGAAATGCTTCTGAGAACTGTCTTTGCCTCATAATTACGAACATGAGCCCAAAGGCCTCAGGGTCGCGCCTGCATGCTTGGAGCTTTAACCAGGCGCTCCCTTCTCTGGTCACGTATGAATGTGTCCGTGAGCCCGTCATACCATGGGAACTACTTGAGTCACACGGGCTCAGGAAAGAAGTGTCCCCTAGTTCCGTTCCTGGGGAGGAGGTTTGTTCAGCCCTGGTCTCCTCGGGGGAATGTTGTTGCTTCTCTCTCTCTATCTAAATATTGAGGCTTAGTCACAAATGGTTTCTCCAGATCACAGGTCCGACATGACGTGGGACACTGAGTTCCCTGGGGCACGGGGAACCCAAGAGCCTTCAGGAATCTGAGCAGGAGAGAGATGCCCCAGTGTCCTCTAAGTGCCAGTTAGTCCTGGACATCGGTCACCCCCTTCCCGCTGTGTCCCTAGGTTCCCATTACCTCAGCGGCCAGATGCCGTCCCTTCCCACCAGCCCTTCCCCTGCCAAGCCTGGTTTATTTCCTTAGAATCTCCAGTGAATTTATCGCTCTTCACGGGTCACCAAGACCCGGTTAGGAATTGGTGATAAAAGCCAGACCTGCCCCCTCTGCCCGCCCTCCCCGGCCACCGTGGCTCAGAGTGCACACCAGGCCCCCATGGACATGGGTCTCCAGCCCTGTTTCCCACGGGGACACCCGGACTGTCAGAGACCTGCTTTGACAACTAGAGTTTTGCTTTCCTCCAGAGGCCCGGGGCACCTGGGCTGGGCTCTCGGAAACCTCCAGTCCCTGTGGCACCGAGGCCACTGTGCAGTCTCTAGGTCCAGGGTTCGCACAAGTCAGAGCTGTCCAGGGAGGGGCCTCTGCGAAAAGTAGCCAAGATCTCATTGTATTTGCATGGGCAGAGGCTCCTGCTGGCCTGTGGTTTCTCGCCCCTTTATAAAGGCGCCACCATGGGGCGTCTGATGTGTGCTTTACAGGGACCTGCCCCCACTTTCCAAGGCCAAGCACCTCTCCAACCCCCCACCTTGACCTCTCTCCCATCCTCTGAGTCTTTCTGCTCTGAGAAACCCCTTCAGTCTTGTCGTGAGGCCCCTACTTTGCTCAGGGGCGCCTCTGCCTCAGCAGCCCTGGCTGGCGCCTCTCACCTGTTTCCCTTTGGGCTCATCTGCCAGAATGTCCACACGGCTTTCTACATCTAGCCAAGCCAGTGCGCGAATGTGGGTGAGTGTTTGCTGACTGTTGTTTCAAGCTTTTTCTAAATAAGCTTGGGTTGTAGGCAGGTGGAGTAGGGGTAGTGTCTGGGACCTCCCACCCTCTTCAACACTAAACGTGTGTGTGTGTGCGAGAGAGAGAGAGAGAGAGGGAGAGAGAGAGAGTGAGGGTGTGTGCATGTGTATGAGTGTGTGTGAGAATGTGTGTGTGCCAGAGGGTGTATGACAGAGTGTGTGTGAGAGTATGTGTGAGTGTGTGTGAATGAGAGTACGTGTGAGAGTGTGTGTGTGTGTGAGAGAGACTGTATGTATGTGTGTGAGAGAGTGTGAGAGAGTGTGTGTGTGTGAGAGACTGTGTGTGAGAGTGTGTGTGTGACAGAGAGTGTGTGTGAGAGTATGTGTGTGTGAGTGTATGTGTGTAAGAGAGTATGTGTGAGCGAGAGTATGTGTGAAAGAGAGAGTGTGTGAGAGAGACGTGTGAGTGCGTGTCTGAGAGTGTGTGAGAGAGTATTGTGAGAGAGTACTGTGAGAGAGTGTGTGTGTGAGAGAGAGTGTGAATGAGAGAATGTATGTGTATGTGTGTGAGAAAGTGTGTGTGTGACAGAGAGTGTGTGACATAGTATGTGTGTGTGACAGAGTTTGTGAGAGAGTATGTGTGAGTGTGTGTGTGAGAGAGACTGTGTGTGAGGGAGTGAATGTGTGAGAGAGTATGTGTGTGAGAGAGAAAGAGAGAGAGAGAGTGTGTGTGTGTGTGTGTGTGTGTGTGAGGGGGGGTCTGAGGAGGGGGCAACATGTCAGGCCCCCCCACCTCTCCAAAGCTGACTGTCCCCTGTTGCCCCCTGCAGGTGGTGTATTTCACCGCGTTGCTGCCCTACTGTGTGCTCATCATCTACCTGGTTCGGGGTCTCACGCTCCATGGAGCCATCAACGGCCTGGCCTACATGTTCACCCCCAAGGTACAGGCTGGCAGGGAGCAGGCCCTGAGGGCTGCTCACTCATCCCCACACCTTCTGAGACAGGTGGGAAGAAGGGGGAGACTGAATGAAAGTTAGAGTGGCTCCCAGCAGTGGGAGAGATGTGGGGCACCTACTCAGACACATAAGACTCGAACCCTGGGAAGTTTCATCCTCACCATCCCCCAGCCGACCACTCCCCTAGGCCTGGGTCTGACCTCCTGGCACCCCAGCTCACTCAGGTCCTGTGGGCACCACCCCTGTCCTCTTACTCTCCTAAACACAGTCTTCCAGAAGCAAGTCCACATGCAGAGCCCCCTCCAAGCCCCGCAAAGCCTCTAGCCTCTAGGACACTCTAGCCTCCAGAGTGGCCCCAGTTTCATGTAGTAAATTGAGCTCCTGGAAACAAATTGATCACTGCAAGGCCTCACCCCACACCCCATGAAAATCCCTCCACCACGTTCCTGACACATCTCCTAATGTCAGTGCCGAAGCTGACCACCAGGATCGCACACAACCTGCAGAGGGGTCCAGGGGTCCAGCCCTGTGGGCAGTGTGCCAGCCCACCCTTGCCACTAGCACATCTCCTGCGGGCATGCACAGGAGAACAGGACCTGAGAACGTGTACGGACAGGGGTGGCTGCAGCCCGGGCCCGAGCAGCTGGTTCCCTGGCCTCTCCCTGTGCCCTAGAGTGAGGAGTCCTCTCTCCCTGCTTGCTTTCCAGCTGGAGCAGTTGGCCAACCCCAAGGCCTGGATTAACGCCGCCACCCAGATCTTCTTCTCGCTTGGCCTGGGCTTCGGCAGCCTGATAGCCTTCGCCAGCTACAACGAGCCGTCCAACAACTGCCAGAAGCATGCGATCATTGTGTCCCTCATCAATAGCTCCACCTCCATCTTCGCCAGCCTCGTCACCTTCTCCATCTATGGCTTCAAGGCCACCTTCAACTACGAGAGTTGCTTAAACAAGTAGGTTCTGGGGACCCTAGGCTTGGTGGAAGAAGGATTGAGGGGTGGGAGGCAGAGCTCGACCTTTGCATCCCTCCGTCCAGGGTGCAGATCTGGGAGAACCCTCAAGCCCCATCCAAGAGCAGAGGGCCTAAGGCAAGTCAGTGTCTCATCTTCAAAGTGCTGGACACAATTGAACTCAACACTGATCTCAGTGACTCTTGCCCCAAACTTCCTGAACCCCAGCAGAGCCTTGGAGACAAAAGTGTCTGCCCGAACCTCATACCCAGGCAGCCGCAATGTCCGTCCTGAGACTCGGGTCATGGGTGGGATTTAAATGGATGCACGTTTTACATTAATGGCATCTTCATTGCATGAATTTGAGCTAGCTTCCCTTTAAATAAAAATTCCTTGCAGCCTCTGTGGTGCTCCTTGGCTACTTGAGGGTAGCAGGGAACAGCCTAACCATGTGGCATGGCCATCAGCATAGAGGGTTCTGTCAGATTTGCTGGTCCCATGATTTCAAAGGAGCGAGCTGTGGGACTTTGATTGCATTGCTCATCTCTGCGCCTGGTTGACATTCTGAGCCACCTGAGGCCCCTAAGAACAACACTGTCCCTGCGTTCCCCTGGAATCAGACCAGTGTGCGGCTCTGCTCCGCAGGGTCATTCTGCTGCTGACGAATTCTTTTGACCTGGAGGACGGCTACCTGACAAGCAGCAACCTGGAGGAGGTGAAGGGCTACCTAGCATCTGCCTTCCCCGACAAGTACAATGAGGTGTTCCCACAGATTAAAAACTGCAGCCTGGAAGCGGAGCTGGACACGGTAAGGTGGAGTCTCGGTGGGCATCCAGGTCTCAGAGCACTGACACGGTCATAAGCGAAATCACGGGGAGGGGGCTCACTTGGGAGACCCTCGCATGTCCCAATTCCAGGAAAATCAAAGAAAACACACCGCTTCCTGCCTATCCCTAGAGCATGTCAGAGACTTACCCACGACTCCCTCTGGAATCCTCTGGCTTCTCCTGTCCTTTCCCTTTGCTCTCTTCTGGTTAAAAATACAGTTCAGGGCCTAAAGAGAAAGTATGGGGGTTATGGCACTTGCCTCTCATGCGGCAGAGTTGGATTCTAATCCCAGCACCACATATGGCCCCCCCAGCAAGACTGATCCCTGAGTATCCTCCGGCCAGGAGTAAGCACTGAGCACCACTGAGGGTGCCTCCCTGCCAGATACAGTTACATTTAGAGAATAATTAAGCAAATGCCCAGCATAAACACTTGTGAATATTTTGCTCTTTGGCACTCAGAGTTTTGTACACAAAAGAGAAAAAAATGTATGAAAGACAAAGTAATACATTTCAAGGAGCTATAAAGTTATTGGCTCCAAGATATCCCTACTCAGCAGTTAAGAGCATTTGGTTTTTTGGGTGAGGGTCTCATAAACAACGTTCAGGGAACCTGGGGACCACTCAGAAATTCTTGGTCAGAGTTTAGCCCAGGGTTGTGGGGTGACTCTGGCTCAGCAGTTGTGAATCAGACACTGGGAATCCCCAATCCCTTAACTATCTTCCTATCTTCCTGGACCAGGAACCTTCATTTTGTTACATACACACACACACACACACACACACACACACACACACACACACACCATCAATGTCTTGTTGACTATTTTTAAACTAACACAAGTGACCATGGTGCTATAGGGAAAGTCCACTCAGGGCCTAAAGGCCTGTGCTGAGAACAAGGTGCTTGACTTTCTTGCAGGAGAGAACTCAAGAGCAAGTCAGAGAAAGACAGCATAATGAGTCATTTATTAATGCAATGTGTGCACTCAAGAACCAGAGCACAGAATTACCAAAAAGGAGTAGCACTGTTTCTAAGGCAGCCAGAATGAGTTACTCAGAGTCTCAGAGCGCAGGGGTACTGGAGAGAGTTGCACTATTTCCATACCAATGTTTAGATTCTGTAGGTATAGAAACAGCGTAAGTTAATAAGGGGAGGAGAGGATGGAGTGTAGGGCGATGGATTTTCGAATCAAACTCTGTCTGGTTGCTTCAGGGGTTGCCATAGCAATTGTAAACTGTTTGGGTGCAAATGGGCATGACTGTGAATAGTCATACAATGAGTGCATCATGACCTGGGCCAGAGGTTGGGTTTCTATCAGCCACTTGATTCTTCTGGAGCTAACTAGTAACAGGCCCTTATTGTTCTCCTCTTTTGCTGCCAGGGTTTGTAACTCCATTGGCAGAACCATCCCAGGTGTCCAGGCTCTATGTGTGGACTTGCAGGGGAATCCAGAGCAGAGATGGACAGGGGGGCCGGTCAGTGTCGCCATGTGAAGGGTCTGGGTAGCAGCTCCTGCTCTAGGAGTGCGCATGGCGGCCAGAGGAGGCTGGGGTTGCTGAATCTTGAGGGTCTGAACAAGAGAGTAATTTTTGCAGAAGAAGCAAAGTTTTTGATTCCATCCTTCTCTGGGTTAGCTGTAGACTATGTTTATGCTGGTTGTTGTCCTGTCTCAGAAGATCGTTTTCTCATCTAAACTTTTGTGCCATATTTTATTCAAGGTTATTGACACATACACTCACATACACACACACACAAACACACATATGTATGCATTTTTCCATTGTATTACTAACACATTTGGATTATGTCTTATATCTTATATCGGCTGGAGCGATAGAACAGTGGGTAGGGCATTTGCCTTGCACGTGGCTGACCCGGGTTGGATTCCTACGTCCCTTTCAGAGAGCCCAGCAAGCTACCGAGAGTATCCTGCCCGCACGGCAAAGCCTGGCAAGCTCCCCATGGCATATTCTATATGTCAAAAACACTAACAACGTCTCACAATGGAGACATTACTGGTGCCCGCTAGAGCAAATCAATGAGCAACGGGAGGACAGTGCTACAAGTGCTGTCTTATATTGTATCTGGCATGAGAGTGGGCACATTTGTCTAATTCTCGGAGTTAATGTAAATTATTCCAGACTAGGGATGCAGGTCACTGGGAGAGCGATGCTTCGAATGTGGGAGATTCTCTGTGGACTCGGGGCTGTGGCCAGAGTCCCCCTTCCTGTACCGTATCAACATCCCAGGACCAAACAGCAAGGCCTCAGGCAGTGCTTTCAGCCACAAACCCTTTCCTACCTTATTTCCTCCCTCTACACCCCTGTTGTACAGGTTAGCTCCTAGTCTTGTGCCATGGCTTTTATGTACACAATTTTCCCTAGTACCCACCTTGGAATGTGTGGGGAACAGGGGACCATACGGCCTCAGTTGAGAAACACTGGCTGAGCTACCATCCTCTTGATTCACTCGACCTTGTGGCTTCAGTGACTGACTGCTCTCATTTCAAATTTCCTTTTTTCCTTTCTTTTCTTGAAAGAAAAAACAAAAAACACCTGGGAGGGTTTTTGTTGTTGTTGTTGTTGTTTGTTTTTGGCTTTACTTTTGAGTTTGGCTCAATGTCCAAGAATGATGTGGTTATTGATTTATTTCTCTTCCCCTGACACCCCTTTGACTTTGTTTTAAATTTTCCCCCACATTCCATTTTATCCTCTATTCTTTGGAATTTGTATACTCTATTTCCCTTCTAGAAATTTTCCCAGCCACAGTTAGCGTAACAAAGCCCAAAATTAAACAGCATCCTGCCTTCCCTCCCTCCCGGACTCCACTTTCAGCTCTTCCTTCCTGCTTGAAATATCAGTTCTGTATTTTTTTGTTGTTGTTTTGGTTTGGTTTAGTTTGGTTTGGTTTTGGTTTGGGGGGGACACTTAGCAGTGTTCAGGGCTGACTGCTGGCTCTGTGCTCAGGGATCACTCCTGGCAGTCCTCTGGGGACCATATGGGATGCCAGGATCAAACCTGAATTGGGGGGCTGGAGCAATAGCACAGCAGGTGGGGCATTTGCCTTGCACGCGGCCAACCCGTGTTCGATTCCCAGCATCCCTATGGTCCCTTGAGCACCGCCAGGAGTAATTCCTGAGTACAGAGCCAGGAGTAACCCCTGAGCATCGCAGGTTGTGACCCGAAAGGTAAAGGTAAAGGCCCTCCCGTTGATCGTCGATTTGCTCGAGCGGGCCCAGTAACGCTGTGCTATCGATAGCACAGCGGGTAGGGCGTTCGCCTTACACGCGGCCAACATGGCCGACTCGAGTTCGATTCCTCCGCCCCTCTTGGAGAGCCCAGCAAGCTACCGAGAGTATTCGATATGCCAGACACAGTAACAACAAAGTCTCCAATGGAGACGTTACTGGGCCCGCTCGAGTGACCCGAAAGGAAAAAAAAAAAACAGAATTGGCCATGTGCAAGGCAAGCGACCTATCCACTGTACTCTGACCCTCATAGTTCTGTACTTTTTTAACCCACAAATCAGAGGCTCCTTCATACCGACAGTATTTACATCTCCCTGCACTTGCCATTTTAATTTTGTTTCCTCTCAGGATCTGCAGGCCATGGATTGTCAGGATGGCCTCAGTGTACAATGTAGTGCCAGGCCTGGAACTCTGGGCCTTGTACTTGCCCCAAGTTCCTTTTATAAAAACAGAGACAGCCCAGAGATGTAGAACAGGGGTTAAGGCCTTAACCTTGCGTGTGGCCAGTTCCATCCAGGGCACCACATGGTCCCCTGAACCCTACGGGAAGTTTTCAACTGCTCATCATTCGTTTGCACGTCCCAGCTCTCTTCTGGGCTTCCCCATCTTCCCCAAAAAACAATTTCTCTACAATGATAAATTTTCTAAGGCTTTGTGCATCAATGTCTATATTTTAGTCTCTGTTTTTTATGAGAACAGTTTCCCCTGAGTAGAAAGTCCTAGGCTAATAGGTTCTCTCAACACTTCAAAGGAAATTACCTTGTGATTTTGTCTTCAGTTTTTACCATTGAAATGTTCTTTGTAAGAAAGAACCTTTCCCCAGTAATTGCAAGCAGGGAGTTCCTTGGTTCTTTCCTCCGTCTTCTCAAGCAAGCAGTTTCTTGGTTCTTTCTCTGATATCTCTCCTTTTGTTTTTGGCCTTCCCCAGCTAAGTGTAAATGAGTTTTTATTTGCCCAGACTTAGCTTTGCATGGGGCCAGCCTTTCTGAATCTCTAGGTCCAAGGTTCTTATCTTCCTGTTTCAGTACTTTTATCCCTGTTATTTCTTAATCATTGCCTCTCCTCTCCACATTGACTTTTTCAGATTTCACTGAACCATTATTTGCTTTTTATTTGGGACCATGCCCAGCAATGCTCAAGGTATACTCCTGGCTGTGTGTTTAGGACTTACTCCTGGTAGAACTAGGGGAACCATATACAGTCCATGGACTAAACTCAGGTCATCTGCATGCAAGGGTCCTGCCCCGAAATCCAAATCCACTTCCTGACTTCTCTCTAATACCATACATCCCATTAATCACCCCTAACGTCCCCTCCCCACCCCCTTATTCTTCGCTTCCTTCCTGGATTTGGTCCTGGCAGTGTTTCCCCCAGGGGACATCGGCACCATCCACAGGACCCTCATTTCAGATGCCACAGAGGGGCTGCTTTATGTTGGTCGCTTATAGAAGGTAGATTTCCATGGAGGCACTGAATGATTTTTTTCTGCAAAGGGGGCTGTGGGCCAAATTAAGCCTGGGAACCTTGGCTTCTAGATTGATCTCCAGATCACTAAATCTCTCTGCAGCACCATGTGGTATTAAGCCTGTTAGATAAGTCTTTTCATTCAATAAAATTTTAGATGCAATTTTAAACAAATGCTTTTATTCTAATAGCTTCTCCTTAAGTGTTTATCTTAGGAATGTTGTCTCATCTTTGACACATGCTGCTTTAAAGAGTCCCTGGGGCTCTTCTCCGGGAGGGAGGGGAGTGGGAAGGCGTTCAAAATGGGTTTCCTGTGGGTGACAATGACGTCAAGCAGGTTAGCATTCGCAGGGTTGGTTTTGTTTTTCAATTGCAGAAGATCACCACCCCCCTGCCCCCACCCCCCACTCCCCTGTCTCTGCCTCAGGACTGCCAGAGCCCACAGATCCAGTGAGCTGACCTGTAGTTGAATCCGGGAAGGATAGCCTAAATCTGATTTGCTCCTGCTTATAGAAGCTTGTCTTCCTGTGGGTTTACAGTCTCTGTTTGCAAGCTAGTTCTGCAGGTCTAAATTGGGGGGCCCTCCCCAATACAAAGGTCTTGCTTCTACTGCTGGGAGCCCCAGAGGCACTCCCACTCCACAAGTGCCTTCAATCGTCTGGGGGATGCCTTCCTGTTGGGGGCACACCTGGCAGTGCTCAAGGCTTACTCCTGACTCTGCATTCAGGGATCACTCCTGGCGGGGTGAATTGGAGTGATAGGGTTGGGACTGGGAGCAAGAGAAGCACCTTGCCCCTAGGCTATCTCTCTGGCCCCAGAGAAATGTGTCTGGAAGCAGGCTCTCTGATTCAGTTTCCATAGTGGGTACCCCATCCCAGCATCCTCTCCCCAGGGGTCGATGCCTCCCTCCCGCCCCCCCCACCAGCCTGTCCATCATTACCAACTCCATTTTGGCTTCTGCTGCCTTGGCCTTACCCCTCCCTCAGCTTCCCCGACTGAGGTCTTGAATGCCCATCTGGTCTGATGCTGAAGCAGCAATGATTGGTCTGAAAACACTTTTACTCTGTTTTACATCATCCCGGATGTCTGTCTGTTGGGCAAGACAGGAAATCTGTGTTTCCCTTGGCTGAAATGTCTCCGACACCAGCAGATGGGCCCCCCCATACCATGCCCCCCCTTGGTGAGGCCAAAGGGCAGGAGGGCTGACGGGGGCTCCAGCCACAGGCCAAGGTCCCCACTCCTCAGCCAGGGCTCCTGGAGGAGGGTGCCGTGGCCCCAGGCTTGGTGACACCATCTTGTCCCCTGCGCAGGCTGTCCAGGGCACTGGCCTGGCTTTCATCGTCTACACGGAGGCTATTAAGAACATGGAGGTGTCGCAACTCTGGTCCGTGCTCTACTTCTTCATGCTGCTGATGCTGGGCATGGGGAGCATGCTGGGCAACACGGCCGCCATCCTCACGCCCCTCACTGACAGCAAGCTCATCTCCAGCCGCCTCCCCAAGGAGGCCATCTCAGGTGGGCAGGGGGAGAGGGGGATGATGGAGGCAGGGTGGCTGAGCCAACGGGGGGTGGTCTTTCAGGAGGCCTGGAGGGAGTTGGGGCCACTCGCCACCACTCAGCCTGTTCCTGTGTCGGAGTGTGTGATTCACCCAGGACCACTGGATCTGCACACCCTGGGTGCTGTCCCCAATCAGCCACACCACTGGGCTCATTCCCCATGGACATTCATGATCTGCTGACTCTCCTGGCAATGGCTTTGCCCCCGTGCCCACTGCATGCATGTGGGCATGCAGACACACAGAGGCATGCATGTACACACAGAAGAGGCATACACACACACACATACACACAAAATGCCCAGGTATACACACACAGAGGCATGCAGGCACATATAGAAGCATGCACACACAAAGTAACATACACACACAAGCAAACACACAGACACACACAGAGGCATGCACACACAGATACACACAGTCATACATGCAGAGGCATGCACACATAGATGTAGACACACAATAGAGACATGCGCGCGCACACACACACACACACAAAGACATTTATGCCCAGGTACACACACACAGAGGCATGCAGGCACACATAGAAGCATGCACACACAGAGTAACATATACAGAGAAAGATGCACACACAGGCATACACAGTCATGCACACACAGGTATGTACACATAGAGGAATATGCACACACACAGGAACACACAGGCACATGCAGAGGCGTGCATACACACAAGCAACACGGGTGCACACAGGTATACACAGAGGCATGCACACAATAGAGGCATGCACACACACAGACATACACTCATGTAGAGGCATGCACACACACACACAAAGGCATGCAAACGGGCACTCAGGCCTCATACACCTGCAGTGAGCCCTACCCCTGACAGCAGCTCCAACCCCTGTGGACCAACCAGTCTCCAGAGCACCCCCGCTGACCCCACAGACAGCTGGGCAAACAGGTGGGGTGGTGCGGCCCTGGGCAGGTGGACAATTCGGTCCTCTGGCCGCAGGTCTGGTGTGCCTCATCAACTGTGCCGTCGGCCTGGTGTTCACCATGAACTCTGGCAACTACTGGTTCGACATCTTCAATGACTATGCGGCGACGCTGTCCCTGCTGCTCATCGTGCTGGTGGAGACGGTCGCCGTGTGCTACGTGTACGGGCTGAGGAGGTGAGGAGCCGCCCTCACTGCTTGGGGCTGGGGGCCCAGAGAGAGCCCCCAGCCCTCTCCCTGTGTCTGTAGCTAGCATCCCTCCTGCTTGCTGTCCTCCCAGTTTTTTCCATCACCTCCCCAGATGCAAGCTAAGTCCTTGCCTCACTTATACCTTAAATTTTTAAAAAATGTTTTGTATTTTGGGCCACCTAGAGGTGCTCAGGGCATGTCTGCCTGGCCCTGAAGTCAGGGGTCACTCCTGATGGGGCTGGGCCCCCTGCAAGCAATCTCCTAACCACCTCAACTATCTCAGGCGAGGTAGTAAAAACCTTCAGTTTTGCTTCCAGCCCCTCTGTTCCACTTCCTGTGTTTGTCAGTATTTATCAACAACTTATTTGCCTGCTGACCCAGCTGGATCCCAGCAGTTTCCTGGGGGCACGGAATCAGCCTTCTGGCGCTAGACTCTTGATCACTGGCCAGCAGCCAGCGTCAGTATTTTTCAGACCTATTGACCAAAGTCTAGTGGGAAGGTCACGTGAGCCTGGGCGACGTGCCCAGTTGGGGTGCCAGGCTCCAGGCCATGGTGGCTTCACAGAGCTCAGGGATTTTCCCCCAAGGGATGTTATCGCAGGGCTGAGAACCACAGGCACACCTCCAGAGCAGGGGCAGCAGAACGGGGCCAGGGAATCCCCCTTACACCAGGGCTTGTCATTAAACAGGTCTAGGGGGACCCATGATTTCACACCATCAATAGGTTCCCAGGTGAGATATGGGAGTGACCTTCATGAGTCTGAAGGGCTTTGATACCCACCATGTGGGCCCAGTGAGGCTGCAGCAGCCACCAGGGGAGCCCATTAGAAGGTCGGGATCCCAGCCAGAGCCACACCCAACAGGTCCCCTTCTGCCTTGCATGCGGCCATCCTGGGTTCTATCCCTGACATCCCATCTGGTCCCCTGAGCACTGCCAGGAGTGATCCCTGAGTACAGAGCCAGGAGTAAGCCATGAGCACTGCCTGGTGTGGCACAGAAAACAAAAAACAAATAAATTAAAAATCAATAAAGGATCCTGGGCCCCCCAAGGCAGCACCTGCATGGCGGTGCTCAGGTGCTACCCCCAGTTCTGTTCAGGGTCACTCCTTCCGGTTCTCAGGGGACCATGGGCTTCTGGGCATCTAGCCTGAGCGTCCTTCATGCAAGGCCTGAGCTCAGCTCCTTGAGCTCTCTCTCACCATGTCCTGTGTTTGAACATGGGGGCATCGCTCCCTGGGGAACCCAGCTCAGACGTGAACAGCCACAGGATTGTGCTGTGGGTCCCCTCAATGACACACCAAAGTCACAGCCTTTGACCAGTGTTCTCAGCCCCCGGACCAGGACACATGTGGCCACATGCCTGTGGAGGGGTTTGCACCATCAGATCCTCGTAGGGCTGAAACAGTCCCACACGCCAGCATACTTTGCTGTAGGACTTCTCAGAGCCTTGGAGACCCCTGTGAGTCTCCAAGAACCAAAGAGTGGGGTAAGAATCTGCAGCATTAAAAAACAAAAACATTTGGGGTGAGGGCGAGGAATCCTTTCTTCTTCCCCTCCCATGATGTCAGAGGGAGGAGCTGGTTCTGTTTGCGGGACAGGGTTTTGTGGGGAAGGAGGCTTCCTATGCTGGCACTGGAGAAGCCCCAGGTAAACGTGGACAAACGGTCACTTAGGAAATGCCAGTCCAGAACGAGATGGTTCCCCAGGGAAGCTGCACATTTCAGGGAAAAGAGAGAAGGACCATAGAATCTGGGGAGGGGCGCAGGCGCTGAGTTGGGGCAGGAGGAAGAGCTTGGAGCCAGAGATTAGAGGGCCTGATGCAGCAGGGGTGGGCGAGAGCGCCACCTAGTGCCCAAAGGATGGAAAGGGAAGTGACAACTCCAATTCTGCCACGTGTGGTTTGGGGTACTCCCAGGTGTACAGGAGTCTTTGTGTGCTCAAGTCCGGAGTCTGCTTAGTTCCCAGTGGGGACTCAGGACATGTCCCAGGTCCAGGGAAGAGGTGGCTGTGACTGTCTTGGGAGTCTCACCCTGCCTCACCCCAGCCCTCCCTAAGCCTGCCTCTCCTGCCCTGGGGAGTTCTTTTTTTCTTTCTTTTCCTTTTCTTTTTTTAATCGAATCACAGCGAGCTACAGCTACAAAGCTTTCATGTTTGAGTTTCAGTCATACAAAGATTGAACACCCATCCCTCCACCAGTGCACATTTTCCACCACCAGTGTCTCCAATATTCTCCCCACCCCCACCCACACCACCTCTATGGCAGATAATTTCCTTCTTTCTCTCTCTTTTGGGCATCATGGTTTTCAATACAGTTACTGAGAGGCTGTCATGTTTGGTCCTTTATCTACTTTCAGCACACATCTCCCATTCCAAACAATCCCTCCAACCATCATTGACTTAGAGATCCCTTCTCTATCCCAGCCGCTTTCTCTGTCGAGCAGTTCTAAGGCAGGAATTCAGGTCTGGGGCCTTAACATTGACCAGTCATGTCTGGGTGTCCTTAGGCAAGTGTCCCCCTAACCCACACCTCCGTAATGGGGACACAGATGGCTGAGCCCATCTCTCCCAAGTGGTAAAGCTCTTTTTCAGCTTTGGCCACGTGTCTTAGAGAAATACTTGATGCCCTATAAAATAGAAGACCAAATGGATGCTGTTTGGGCTATTACTAAATTTGGATAAAAGAGTCCCCTGACAGAGAAAGAAGCGGGGCTGGAGTGGTAGCACAGCAGGTAGGGTGTTTGCCTTGCACACAGCCGACCCAGGTTCAATTCCTAACATCCGATATGGCCCCATATGAGCACCGCCAGGAGTAATTACTGAGTGCATGGAGCCAGGAGTAACCCCTGTGCATTGCTGGTGTGACCCAAAAAGCAAAAAAAAAAAAAAATCACAACAGAGAGAACCCATGGTAGCATCTCACGCGTGCCGGCCTGGTGGTGAGCTCCATTGTTCTGTTCCCTGAGTCTGCACAACAGCTTGTGCTTGAATGTTTTCCATCCTGGAGAACCCTCTCTGCTCTCAGAGGACAGAGGGGCTCCTTGTCGGATGCTGATTCTCACAGGCAGTGGAGGGAGAGCGGTCAGCGGCAGCGGGTAGAGAGGGCAAAGCTGCCCTTGGTGCCTGCTGGTGCTGCGGACTGGCTGGACAGAGATCCCAGCCCCCACAGGCCCTGTTCCCACCATGCTGCCCCTCCACCCCAACCTCCAACCCCCTCAGCCGCATCGCATCCTGTAATCCTGCATCCTCTGAAGACCAGCTCAAAATGGCAGCTTCGCTGTCCACCGAGAATTCAAGAGTTTGGTCCTCAGTGAAGCCCGGATAGTCTCCTGAGCGGCCAGCTCTGCCCATAGCACAGGTCACTCTCCTGATGGCTCTCCCTCTGTCCCAACAGATTTGAGAGTGACCTGAAGACCATGACGGGTCGCACGCTGAACTGGTACTGGAAGATCATGTGGGCTGGCGTGAGTCCCCTGCTCATCATCAGCCTCTTCATCTTCTACCTGAGCGACTACATCCTCACGGGGACGCTGCAGTACCAGGCCTGGGACGCCTCCCAGGTAGCTGCAGCTTTTGGTAGCGGGGTTGGGTGACTCGCCACAATCTGGAAATGTCACTGGCACTTAAAATCACTCAGCCCATGGGGCCAGAGAGAGTACAACAGGTAGGGCGCTTGCCTTACATGCGGTTGACCAGGGTCAATTCCTGGCATCCCATATGATTTCTGACCCTGGCCAGGAGTAATTTCCGAGTGCAGAGCCAGGAGTCACCCCTGAGCATCACTAGGTGTGGCCCCAAAACAAAAAGAAAACAACAATGAGAAAAAACCAACAGCCTGGGGTGGCAGCGCTAAATTAAGGGAAGGGGGAGACGCTGCGGGGTCTCCCCGTGGCTGTTCTGGGAGCTGCTTCAAAGCCCCCGTGGGGCCCAGCTTCCTGGTGGACCAGCCTGGGTACAGGCTGGCACAGATCTGCCACAGCCCAGAGAGGCAGACTCTTGAGCCTTGCGCTGAGACACGCAAACACTCCAGTGCTTACGGGGCCCATTCCAGGAGCTGGTTCCCAGGGAAGCCGGGCTGCAGTGGGCTCCCTCAGGACACCAGGCAGCAGCTGTTTGTCAGACAGCAGGCAGGTGACTGACAGGTGTTCGGGTATTGCTGGTGGAGGGTCGGCCTGGGCTCACTTCTAAGGGAAGGGACAGCGCTGGCCAATCTGGAGTTCTCCTGCTCAGGAAGCTCCTGCTGGCCTGTGCTGTGAGTGGTGAGTAGGCCCTGATGGCGAGCAGAGGGCGAGCAGGCCCTGATGGCCACTCACGTCACTCCTCACATGTACCCTGTGTCCAGAGGGGCTGGGGTCATGGGTCAGCTGCAGAGCACTTGCCTTGCATGCATGAGCCCCTGGGCGGTCCCTAGCACCACACGCACCACACACACACACACACACACACACACACACACACACACTACAAGCATCAGTTATAATAGTCAACAGACATAAAATTGCTAAAGACCTAAGATTACTTTCAGACTGCAAGAATGATTTCTGGATGTTTCCTCCAGTTTCTGTACTTGCGCTTGTCCCGACACAGGACTCGGTCACTACTGTGAAAGTAGCATCTGGTCATCTCCATGTAGGTTGAGAGCAAACACCTGGAGACAGAGTTGCCCTATAATTCCTGCATGAAATGGGGGGGGGGAGGGTAGTGTGAGGAGGGGTGTTACTGACTTGGAACCTTTAAGCGTCTCTCATCAGCTTTAGTGGAACTGCATAGTCGGGGGACATTCATCACCTAACAAGTAACTAGAGATCTATCAAGACTTCAGTCATGGGGCCAGAGACACAGAGAAAAGGTGCGCTTGCCTTGTATGCAGCCAGCTCCAGTTCAATCCCTGACACTACATGGCTCCCCAAGCACTGCTGAGAGGGACCCGTGGAGTGCAGAGCAGGAATTAGCCCTAGAACTGTTTTTGTTTATTAGGGCCACACCTGTCAGTGCTTAGGACTGACTCCTAGCTCTGTGCTCAGGAATCACTCCTGGTGGGGCGCAGGAGATTGATCATACAGGGTGTCGGGTACTGAACCTCGGTTGGCCACATGCAAGGCAAGCACCTAACCCACTGTACTCATTTCCCGATCCTTCCCAGTACCGAATGTTTTAATGCAGTGTTGTTCAACCTTTTCCCAAGCAAAGCTCCCTTCTCACCTTGTTTCCTTCCTGTTGATCCCCTGTCCGACCAGCGGGTCCCAGAGTCTTATGCCATGGACCCTTACTCATGCCATTTTCACTCATGGCCTCTCGGAGGAGGGGACAGTTGAGGATGCTATTCTAGTGGGTAGTGCTGGGCTAAGGAATGTCTCTTGCATTTAGCTGTCCTGGTGCCTTGATTGTTCTTGTAACTCTGTGGGGAGCTGCACAGAGTGGCTCTCTCCACACACTGGCTGGCGGGAATGGAGGAGAGAGAAGGCGAGGGACATTGGTCTGCCCGGCATGCTTGCTGGGAAACTACAAAGGCAGGGCGAGGGAAAGAATGCCAGGTTTCATGCGCTCTTCCCACCCCTACACAGCCTCTTGTTCAGCTGGAGGGTCCAAGGCTTGTCTAGGGGGTGGGGGGTTGGGTGGGACAGGGGTGAGAGGTCACCATGTTCTAGAAGGTTCCATTGAGGAGATTCTGCTGACACTCAGCTTCTCCTTTCAGGGCCAGCTTGTGACCAAGGATTACCCGCCATATGCACTGGCTGTCATTGGGCTGCTGGTGGCTTCCTCCATCATATGCATCCCCCTCGTGGCCTTGGGGACTTTCATCATGCGTCGCCTGCAGAGGGGAGACCCAGCCCCGGTGGCCTGAGGCCTGGGATTCCCAGAGCCAGCGGTCAGTCTCTCACGGTTTCACAGCCACCAGACACAGGTGGAAACTCCTCGCTGCTTTTAAAAATATTTATCCAGCAGTGCTCAGCCTGTCATCTTCCTGAGTCTGTAAAGAAGGGTCGGGATGGTGTGGAGGAAGACTTCAAGCCCCCCCCCCAACATGATTGCCTACCCCCAGGGTTACAGGGGCAGCCCCTTGTCAAGAGTAGGTGGGTTTCCCAAGGCTGGTCCGGAACACACTTGCTCTCTGGTCCCTCCGGAAAGTTCCAGAATGTCAGCTAAAGTTTAACTATGATTTTTTTTTAATAAATTAAAATGGAAACAATCCCCCTCCCTGGTGATCCCAAAACTCTAGAGGGCAATTCTTTTAGACCAGTTGAAAGGGGTTTAAGTGCCTACGCTGACAATATTGGAATGTCACTGGTGTGAAATTATGGTATCTCCTTATTTAGTTAGCCTGAGTCTGAGATTGCTGTTCAGTGGTAGGACCAACCCAGCCCTCCAAGAAAGGCAGCCTCTGTGGGGACCCCAAATGAGGTCACCTTCTCCAACCGAGCGCTCTCACCCAGCTCACAGCGGGCCCGGGACCAACCCTCTCTACAAACAAACGGTCCGATTACAGTTTGCAAATCCAAACTGCCTTCAGCGTGGTTCCATGAACTGTCAATCAGACACCTCTGCCTGTCGTGTCTGGTGCTCTGCAAAAGGTGCCAGAAGTCACTGTGAAGATGGAGAAGAAGCACGTTCCCACGGAAGGCTCCGTGTCGTGTTTGGACAGGATGACCAGCTCTTCACAGGAAAGTCTACAAACACCACTTAAAATCAATTTTAAATTATTTATCTGTACATAAGTTTTCTAAAATGTACATAATTCAAACAGAATATCGTTTAACTAGAGACACACCGTATTTATAATATAGCTAGTCCACCACACGTGCGTCTGGTCTTTTTCTTTCACTGCGGTATGTAGGACAAGATCACCCCTGAAGTACAAGGGGTTCCTCCTACTTTTTCCTTGAGGTCATAGAATTGGGGGGGGCGGTGGATTTCCTTTGGGCCACACCTGGCCATGCTCAGGGATAACCCCTAGTGGGATTCTGGCAACCACACTGTCACTGTCACTTTCCTCCCGTTTTTCATCGATTTGCTCTAGAGGGCCCAGTAACGTCTCCATTGTGACAATTGTTACTGTGTTTGGCATATTGAATACATCACAGGTAGCTTGCCAGGCTTTGCCGAGGCAGGCGAGATACTCTCAGTAGCTTGCCGGGCTCTCTAAGAGGGGTGGAGGAATCAAACTCGGGTCGGCCATGTTGGCCGCTTGCAAGGCAAATGCCCTACCCGCTGTGCTATCACTCCAGCCCTGGCAACCACACATGATGAGAAATTCAAAGCTGGACTGGGTAGATTTCTATGGACATCTCTGAAGACTCTCAAATACTCTCTTGGAATACAAACTGAATATGTCATCTGAAAAAAACAATCTTTTGTTATCTTCTCAACAGCATTTGAGAGGTCTTTTCTGGTTCTGAACTGCCATGTTAACAGTATTTCCCAGGGGCTGGGGGCATAGTCCAGCAGGCAGGGCATTTGCTTTGCACCTTGCACCTAAGTTTGATCCCTGACACCCCATCTGGTCCTCCTCCAAGCCCACCAGGAGTCAGCCCTAAGTGCAGAGCCAGGAGAAAGTCCTGAGCACTGCCAGGTGTGGCCCCCAAACCAGCAAAACCAAAAACCAAAAACAGGAGTATTTTCCGCTTGACGTAATACTTATAAAAAGATCATTTGCTTTTCAGAATCATGAAGTAGCATTCATTTCCCACAACTTGTGCTCTGGTTTCATATCACAGGATAGTGATGGTGGAATTATTTTTATGACTATTATTATTTGCTAAGGTGGGAGCTCAGGGCCTCACACATCCCAGCTCCCAGCAGAGGGGTCCTTAAGTGTTGAAAAAACAGCTACCAAGGTTTTAAGAGTGGGCATGCTAGTGCAAATCCACAGCAGAATCTCTCCCGAATCCTCAGGAATCACAACCCACAGGTGTCATGGTCTCACCACAGGGCCTGTCCCTTCTGGAGCCAGATGTCAGCTGCCAGTCTCAGCCCAAGAGAGACAGGTATCCTCCGGAGCAGAGGCAAATATTGGTCTGGATTATTCCTTTACTCACAATTACCCTCATTTCCCAGCTGAACCACCTGAGTGCATTTTAAACTCTCAGTGCCCAGACATGCCCTGACATCAGCTAAATCCCATAGGAAAGAAGAAAAATCTATCACTGTGTATTCAGAGTTACACCAAGATAATATGAAGGCAGTTTGAGTATTTGCAACCATATGGGAAAGTCTCCTCCAAGGAGTCAGAAAGCCTCACTCTTCAGAGTTGTTTGGGGGCTATACCCTGTAGTGCTCAGGCTTACTGCTGGCTCTGAGCTCAGAGATCACTCCTGATAGGGTTTGGGGCACTATATGGGGTGTCAAGAGATGGAATATGGGTTGGCTGTGTGCAAAACCAAACAAGAGTCTTGCCTGCTGTACTATCTCCCTGGCCCCAACAAAATCCCACTATTAAAGGATAACGTGCCCCAGATGAAACTAAGTTTGAGTAGTTTTACTCTGGTGTCTGGGTACTTCACACAAAGAACGTTTCTCAAGAATCCTCAAGTCAGTAAAAAAAATTCTTTGTTGACTAATTTCTAGGTACTGCACCAAAGTGGCCATCTTGACTTATTTGTCTTTCCTCTCCAATAAGAAAAAAAAAGGACATTCCATCCCTAAGTACTTAACAGTAACCATGACACTGTGGCCAGATCACAAATTCCAGAAATTTCTCTTCTGTGAAAACAGAACCAACCTGACTTAGCTCTAAAAAATCAGGTAGGGAACTATTTGGTATTCCAGCAACTATCATCATAAATAAAAGCCCAAATAAAGCACTAGCTTTTGTCATTAACTGGTTGCAGTCCTAAAGACTTCCCTTTTAAACACAAGATCTCCTCCTCCTGCTCACACATGTGCACTCGTTTTGAAGAACTGGAAAATAAAGGAAGAGTCCGGCCAGTCTTCATTCCCTCTCGCATGCCCACCCCTTAGGTAACCAGTGGAACCAGGCTGGCACCATGGAGACTGCTACATGGCAAGAGGCTTAGGTTCCATAAGTAGGAAAGAATTCTAATTTGCCATTAGAATCTGAATCAGAACATGGCTCTTCTTAATTTCTGCAGACCCTTCCAATGCCCTTGACAATTCCTGAGCACTCAGCAACTCCCAGATCTTTCTTTGGCTGTGAGACCACAACAGGTCTGGGTATGACTGGAGAACGGTCCCGGGGCAGAGGACATGGATGTGTACAACCAGTTTTAGTGAGCATAACATTATTTTAGGTAACAACTAAACAAATGACAGTTCCACTTTATAGACAGACAAGCTGAGGCAGAGGGTTAACTATCATATTCTATTCTCCAGCAGCCAGGGAAGGGAGATGAAAGTAACAATTAAACATCTTTTGCAAGACAATAAGTCTATCCACAAATATAAAAAACGTATTTTTTAAACCAGAATTTCTGGGCTAGCTTCTTGTATGTGAATCACTTTTCTATTTAGCAGCCTTTTAGGGATCACCGGGGGCTAATTATAAGCCAATCCCTGGAAGGGCATGCTGGGGACAGGATGCACGGGGAAGACATGGAGCTGTCCTTTACGGCATGTGCGTTCTGGACAGGAAGAGGGACAATGAGAGATGGCAAATAGCACTGTAGCACTGTCCTCCCGTTGTTCATCGATTTGCTCAAGCAGGCACCAGTAACGTCTCCATTGTGAGACTTGCTATTACTGTTTTTGGCATATAGAATACATCACAGGTAGCTTGCCAGGCTTTGCCGTGTGTGTGTGGGGGGGGGTGGGGGGGAGATACTCTCGGTAGCTGGGCTCTCTTAGAGGGGCGGAGGAATCGAACCAGGGTCGGCCTTGTGCAAGGCAAATGCCCTACTGGCTGTGCTATTGCTCTGGCCCGATAGCAAATGAAAGTTCAGAAAAGATGTGTCATGTCTAAGAAGGAAACCCATGGGCCTAGTATGATAGCTGCAGCACCCAGAGAACTTCAGGGTCTGAGTTTTGAAGAATGAGGCTGATTGCAGGAATGGCTAAGGTTCATTCTGAGCCAAGAGCCAGAAGACCCTGAGACTAGAAAGGAGATTTGAGGTAGGGATCCTCCAGAGTGGGTGACTGGATGTGATCTCCAGGGTATGGACAGGGATCAGGCCTTAGCGAGGACCCTGGCTTTTCTTCACAGAGAAATAGAACTTCACAGAGGACTGAGTGTGCCCTCTCAGGAATGGATTTATGTTTGAAAGGTTGCCGAAAGACAATGGTTGGAGAGGGGGAGATCGAAAAACACTCCAGTGTTACAAAGTAGAGATGATGGCACAAACTTGGAAATGAATGAAAAAGAAATTGGTGTGTCCAGATTCAGTTTCGGAGGGAGAGTTGTCAAGAGTAACCAAGTTACTGACAGCTTGGATGCACAGCTGCAAAGGGAGGAGGAGGAAGAGTGTGTTGTCCTGGGGGAGTATAGCTGAAAAGGATCTGGATGACCCTGGATGTTGTGCTGGGTGGGTGCTGCTGCAGTGGGTCCTGGACTGTAGGTGACACTACGCATGAGACAGAACGAAATCCATCCACATTCCTAATGCAACCCAACTGTGAGGTATTATACATAGGTGGTTTGAAGGCACTGAGCCTGGGTGATCTGCTCCAATGCAGTAACTACCCACTGCAAAGACTGAGGCCTCTCTGAGCAAGAACAACTTCTGCTCACATCCCTGATGTGCCTGGTGGGATGCCACACTTGCAGCAGATTCCTAATAACTCATTACCAAATTTGCTAAAGTGTTTTACTTTAAACCAGAAAAGTAATTCAGAAGACACCGCTTTTGGCCATACCTGGTGGTGCTCAAGGCTTCTTCCCGGCTCTGAATTCATGGGTTATTCCTGGAGGGCTTGAGGGGACCACATGGGGTGCAAGGGATTAAACCACGTTGGTCAGGTGCAAGGAAAGCGCCCTACCTACTATACTATTACTCCAGCCCCAAACACAACTTAAATGATCATAACTAGAAAGCCAGATTTCAAATGCCATGAATTTTCTTGGTTATACTGTCTGATTTTTCTATAAAGATAATGCAATGCTTCAAATGAATTTAAAATATTTTAAAGAATAATAATCTTTTCAAGACAAAGTACAGAAACACCACCAATAATTAGAAAAGAATATGACATTTTATTTTTCCTTATAGATGTATAGTACATAGATTAAGAAATAAAATCATTGCAGGGTTCTGAAATATTGATACTTTAAATTCTAACACACCAACATTAGTTCATTCACTGCAAATAGCCATATTAGCAGCTCAGATTTGGTCTTTCTTGAAATTAATTTCTTTAGAAATGCCCAGTAGCACTGTGTAATATATTGCAGTAGACATAAATTAATTTTCATATTTTATCTTTGGAACAAATTATGCTTATTTACATATTAAGAATAGGTAGCTCTAATTACTTACCCTATTGTGAGTTTAAATGAGTGATTTTAAGCTACAGAGGGTTTTCCA